TAAAGGCCCCTCAACAATTTCACTTGAATGTCGTCCAAATGAGAAATCGTTTTTACAATATCATATTGATGGTTTGCTCACACTAGAAAACGATGTACTTTTGGTGAAAATGGCCCCTAATAAAACCATGAAATGGGAGGAATTGCGTCCTTCCGTGATTAGTTTCGTTATGCCGTTGGATGAAGTCTTTCTAAATGCCTTTGGGGAAGCATGCAAACGCTTGAAACCCGAATGGGTGGCTTTTAAAAAGGTAGAATCCCCATTCAACCAACAGAAGCCGTGTGAGGAAGGAACACAATCGAAAGATAAGCCCATCCAAGTACAAATAAACGCAACGGTGTCAGTTGGGGAATGGATAAATCAATTAGCACAAATTCGCCAGGAAAACACGGAGGTCAAAACACAAATGAAAGAAATGCAGACGCAGTTGGCAGAAACGCAGAAAAAATTGGGAGAAATGCAAGGACAACCCACAGCAGCTCTACAGCAACTCTCTCAACAAAAAAACATTCAAATGACGGAATTATTAAAACAAATGGGAAATGAGCGTCTCAATACAAATGGAGGAGAAGAGAAATCTCGGACCAGCCAAAATACCCTCAACAACAGTAATAATGTATCCCACTTAGCATGGCAAGGGGGAAGGGCACCAATGGCCTTTAAGGAAGGACCACAATTAGGATCACAGGGAACACAGGAACAAAGGCTGCCAGTATGGACTGCGGCAATCAGGCCAGAGGAAAAGATCCGCTCCTTTGAAGGAATGATGGATTATTTAAAGGAGACATCACCCAGCCAATTGGTGATTGCATACCGAGAAATATTTCCCATGCCAGCCAATCCCGACCTAGCTTATAAAGATGCATGGAATAATTTTGTTCAGTGGACTCGCACTATTCGCAGTGATGGAATGTCGGCATCAATGATTCAATTGGGCCGAGAGCTTTACAAGCAGCTGCGAATAATACAAACCGTTAAAGATTTCCCTGGAGTGAAGATGGAGGAGCTTCATGATGCTATTATTGCGTTTGAAAATCCAAATGATCCTTTCATACAGTACGTCGTGAAATGGCGGGAGAGAAATTCAACAGCATCATCAACAATATCCAAGAAGGCACGTTGTTATAGATGTGGACGTGTTGGGCATTATAGCTCTACGTGCCATTTCGCTTTGCAAAAAGAACCTTTTGAACCAAAAAACGATTTTGGCCCCGGAAACAGTGAATATCGGAGGTCAGGGCGGATAGGGCATCAACAATTATTGGATATCCAGGATTTGACGCGCCCACTCAATACCGTGATTTTCTTCCGCTTACACATTGGAAAGGTCTCACAAAAAATTATCAAAGGAGAAACGCAAAAGCAGTGCGCACAGAGACAAGACTTTCAAAGGGGGTTTTCCTCCAATAACAGAACCCCCGCCCCATCCAAAGGACGACTTCAATAAATGATGTTGCGTTAACACCCGCGCGATCCCACGATCCCGTACATCTTAGCATTGGCTTCAGAGGCCATGGGCATAGATAGGGAGAGTTCTGCGCTTGCACGGAATACGGGCCGCTTGGGGTTACGTCGCATCAGGGGAAAATCCTGCGGACGGCATTCCCAGATGGCAAACCGCAGCAGTTAGACGTCGCGAATGGGTTGGCACTTGCGATGGGGAGAGTGGGGGTTTGTTAAAAGGGTTTCTTGGCCCTTCCGTTTTCGCCTGTTCCGTCATTTTTTTGGTGCAAACCGTAGGGGCAATACATCCGGATGTGTATATGCAGTACGGGAATGCGTGGTTCAAAACCGCAAAGTAAAATATTGTTTCTTTCCTTTCTTCCCTTTCTCCCCATTTTTTTTTTTTTTTTTTTTTTTTTTT